GTGAAACGGGGCCTGGTGACCCACTTACCCCGGGCTTTCCTTCTGTGGATGGTATATACCGACAGCCATTGAACGAAAGTGGCTTACCACCAATTCCTGCCTTTGCTCTATCTTATGGCGACGCCAAAGAAATATTAAAGCGAATGAAAGGTTAGAAGCTTAGTGACGCCGAGATGTTGTTGTTGTCGTTTTTTTAGTTAATTATTCTGTGAGTCGCTGCAGGTAAAGAGCGACTCATTCAATTGACCAATACTGATTTCTCTTGTGTTTTACTTGCAGTGACGCAAAATCTAAATTAGGTGCACCTTCACTCGGGCTTTCGGTTCTTCCTTCCGGGGTTTAATTTTTTTTTACGCTAGGCCCCTTCACTTTTGAACTTTATCCAAAATTCAGAAATGTTTTTGAAACTTCAAGCTATTTTTATGACATTCGGAACTGACTTGCTTTCGGCCTATCCTCTCAATTTTTTTCTTAAATTGATAAGGTCTTGTTTTTAGAAGTGCTGTCTGCTTGTCAGCGCCTTTGGCAGTTCGGATTAAGACATTCGAGAAAGAGATAGTGGAACAGTGTTCGAAGGAGTTAATTTTGTAATAGGACTCCACTTATTTACCTCTCTCCACGTGGACTATATCCGTGTTTTCAGAAGCCAATACAATGTCTATCATGTTCTTACAACTTTACTCGACAGGTCCTGAAGCCCCGAAGAGCTGGCAAGGAGGCTTGCAACTCACTTATCACGTCGGGCCGGGTTTTAAAGACGAAGATCTTTCATTACGCTTGGATATTAGGAACAACATGGAGAATAAAACCATTACCAACGTCATTGGCCAGATCAGAGGCGCCGTAGAACCCGACCGTTATGTACTCATAGGGAACCATCGGGACGCTTGGGTGTTTGGTGCTGCTGATGCAGTTAGCGGTACGGCTGCAATGATGGAGTTGTCTCGTGGTTTGGGAGAGCTTCTTAAAACGGGATGGCGACCTCGCCGGACCATAATGCTCTGCAGCTGGGACGCGGAGGAGGTGTTTGTGGTTGGATCAGCCGAATGGGTTGAAGAAAATGCTCGAACTCTTCAAGATCGCGCTGTTGGTTACCTCAACATGGACGTGGCTGTCAATGGCAATTTCAGTATCAACGTTGATGCAAATCCTCTACTCCAAGACGTGGCTGTATCGTTGACCAAAGAAGTATGTGATCCAACAGTTTCGGACAATTGCAGAAGCATGTACGATGTCATGTTAGAGAGAGATGTTACGAAACACGAGAACGGGATCCCATTCTGCGATAATTTGTCGTTCGGAAGTGATTACGTGTCATTTTATCATTTCATCGGAGTCTCTTGTGCGGATTGGTCTTACATTTTCGGGGGGTTGTATGGAATAAGGCGGTCGTATCCAGTTTATCATTCCATTCACGATTCATATTACTGGATAAAAACCTTTGTCGATCCCGAGTTTAAGACTCACCTAGCCGTAACAAAATATGCTGGGATTTTTCTTCTTGAATTAGCAGACGTGGAGCTCTTGCCTTTCAACACTACAACCTATGCAGAACTGTTACAGAAAAAATCCACTATTATAGAAAAGAGCAAACATCTCAAAACACACAGCATCAGCACGGCTGCCTTCTCTCGCGCGGTAAAGAACTTCGCAAAAGTTGCGCGTCAGTTTGAAAGCAGTAAGTCAAAACATAAACCAGAGAGCTACCGCACGTTAAACGATCAAATGATACAACTAGAGAAGGCGTTTATTCAAACTGTGGAAGTGAATGATCATAAACAATTACGACATGTTATATACGGTCCAAAGCTTGCCAATCTTTACGGCGGTATCTATTTCCCACGCGTACATTATGCCACGATGAAGGCCGAAAAGACGGGAGACTGGAAATCGGTGGAGAAAGAAATATCACTTTTGACATTTGCCATAAACTCAGCCTCGAGGGTTTTGAAACCCATATGATAAACAAGAAAGCTGTAAAATAGTATTAAATTTGTCATGTGAAGAACTACCGTGGATAAATTTGAATTTTTTTTCTAAGCCGTTTTGTTTATGCTAGTTAGAAATTTGCTACGTTCTTTTTCGGCATTTTCGCCGACCGATGCTCATTTGAGATTTGTCACAAAGCAATTGTGAAAAAAGCCAGTTTAAATTCATTGGAACTGAAGAAGCTAGTCAATAAAGAAGTTAATATTTGACATAAAGAATATCTTGTAGAATGTACCCTTGTCGTAGAATGAATTCGCGAGACTCAGTAATAATCATGGATTAGTTAAGTGTGTTCGATGTGGCCTAGGAATGAGTATTTTTTTTCTTAGCGTAATAAAATCCAGGACATAATTAAATCTGCAAACATCAAATTGTGGTGCGGCTCACAGTTCCGATTTGGGTGCAATTTTTCTACATATCTTCCAAAGGCTGCCTAACTTATCTACTCCTGCATGAAATCGAGGAGAATGTATTCTCGCGTGAGATTAAGACCAGGTGTATCAGTCAGTCCAAGATGGCGTCGAAAAGCTGAAAGAGTCTGACTTCGGATCGATGTCCACGGGACTGAAAATAGACACGAATTGTAAGCGTTCTTCTACTTTGAACGCAATTAAGGTAATATTAGGCGAAATTGTAAGAAAATGTTGTGTTCGCGTTTACTGTAGACATGCACAGTCTTATAGCATTAAAAATGTTTTGGCTGGCGTAAATTCACTTAAAAAACTATATTTTAGAGACTGCTTACAGTTATTCTTGATTTATTTTACATATATACATTCGAGAACACTTCCGTCCACTACAATAGTCTGACATAAAGAAATTATTAAGCCAATCAATAAAGCACTCGGTATACATTCTGTTTAAAAAACCATGAAGTTTACAGACTCTTAGGCCTTTTATTAAATAAAATTTTAACTATTATTCATCCAAACCGCACTCTAATCAATATTGAGACAAGCAGAAAAATTCACCCAATCGTTAAGATTTTGCGAAACCGTCAAAGAGATTTATATAAAGCTCCAAAAGAAAATCAAATTTCTTGGAAAAAACCCACAAATGATGAACATTCGAAGTTTTGATCGTCAAATTAAAAGCCGGGGCCCTAATTAGACCTCGTTTCAATAACCGAACCTCGGGGCCAGTTTATTACATAAGGTCTAACCCAAACCACGGTTTTTACTTAATTAGTGGGCCTCAGGCTTTCTCTATGAGAGGATAAATCTGTTTAGCCTGCAGAGAAGGCGTAATTTTGGCGAGCGAGTGCTCAGTATTTTCTTAGCCAAAATCATGGAGCTATCTTTGATTTTCATGGCAGCGGAAGGCTGGGGAGTGAAAGAGTGTTAAGGGGGTGAGCGACAGTAAAAAGTAAGTAGAGGGGAGGGGGTGAGGGAGTGAATATAACTCCGCCTTTTTACCTTTCCCCGACATTTCCCTCACCGTCGACTGTAACTTCAAATCAATCATGGCTGGTTGAATAAACGTACGTTTCTTAAACGTTAACTTGCCCTAATATAAGATGGCTACACTGTTTCCTTACTCAGAATTGGTTAGCTCAAATGACCACCACAAACCGTATAATATCAAGCCAAGATTTAATAATCATTCGATCTAAAATAGAATCTCACTTTACAGGTTAGCAGATTCTCCAGGTAAGCGGATTTGGAGACAGAAAAAATGATAACAAAATAACTTCTCTCTAACTTCGATTCCGGTGAAAAACTGACTTGAAACATAATAATCTAACGCTTTTAAATCAATCTAAAGAATTAATGTCAATCACGATTCTTGTCATTAAGTAAATCTGTCAACAACAACGCCTATTTGATAAACGAAACATACACTGCAGGCTATAATTTGATTAAATAAAAGTCCTTCGACTTTTAGCTTTCGGCCATCTTAACACTGTTCACAAGAACAAATGTGCAGATAAAAGGTCCAGCTAAATTGATGATTGTTTAAGACGCGATTTCGTTAAACAACGGCTAAACTTTGTTTTAATAACCGGTCCTTAGTGTCTCCTCTGTACAACCTCAACCTTAGTGTCTCCTCTGTACAACTTCGCTTCCCGCAAAGAGCAGGCACGTAGCTCCTAGTGTTGTGGTCTGGCCTTGTTATTTTTTATACACGCAGGCCCCAACTTAAAGTAGCTTTAAAGCTGAACTGGGCCAGTCTGTCAAAATATCGTAAATAAATAAATAGCTGGGAGCTAGCTGGCCGAGCTACACTAGCTGTTGATATGAGTGTCTCAGTTACAAGGATCTTGTGTAGAGTTGACACAAGTAAATAAGGTTCAGGCTTCTTTTCGATCGCTAGAAGCTAACGAATCAGACGTTTCCTCGGCTCTCTTCTCTGATAGTATCATTACCGAGGTCATTCATTTCTAGTTCATGGACTATGGATACTAAAATTGAGCTCTTCTTTAACAACTTACCCCCATTGAGCATTCATGCACTGCGACTTCAACTTGATTATTTTATCTAACGGTAGAAGAACTGTCCCACTCGAACGAGCAACCATGCTTTCTCCATCATGGAGTTGCCTTCATGGCCAAAATGGAATACTTTACTAGGTACAGGAGAAAAACTAAAAACCAGGAGTAAATCCAAACAAATAAACGTCGGCAAACAAACAAAGCACCTGTAGATTGTGAAACAGCCTGGTTTGCACAGCTTGAGAGTTCATCCCGATTTCGAAATCATAGTGCGACGGAGCCTAACCTCTAGCTTTTTGTCAGGGCCTCCCTTACAGTTCGTTTGTGCTATGAATTTTTTTCTCCCGGGTATCGGTTGCGTAGTAAGAGTAAAGTTTCTTTCCGGGCTTTGATCTTGACTCGATCCTGGACCGCTCTAGTTTGAAGCCTTAATCAACAGGCTAGCACACACATGTTACATTTTGGCCATAGGACTAATAAAGATTGTGTTTTCTCAAGCTGGAAGCTGTCATATTCAGGGTATTAAAATATAACGAAGGAAACCAATTTTTCAAATAAAAGTTCAAAAATATCTTCGTCTTTATATGGGTTTCAGAACATTTGCAGCAGAAGTAATGGCATATGTCAGCAAAGATATCTCTTTTTCCACCAATTTCCAATCTCCTGTTTTTTTCGCCTTGATCATGGCATAATGTACACGCGGAAAATACAAGTTATCGTACAGATCATCGATGTTGAGGCCATGTATTACATGTCTGGAAAGTTTCCAGTCGTTTTCTTCTACAGTTTGTATAAAAGCTTTTTCCACTTGCATCATTTGATCGTTCAGGATGCGGTAGTTCTCTGGTTTCTCATTTAACTTGCCTCTTTCAAACTGACGCGAAACTTTTGCAAATCTCCTCACTGCGCGAGAAAAAGAAACCGTGCTGATGTTATGCGCCCTTAGAGTAGCATTCTTTTCCAAGGAAACTGCTTTTGATTTTAAGAATTCTCCGTAACTGGTTGTGTTGAGAGGTAACAGTTCAGAGTCGGAAAGTTTGAGAAGAAATGCCCCTGCAAATTTTGTCACGGCCAGATGAGTTTGAAATTCAGGATCAACAAAAGTTTTCATCCAGTAAAACGTGTCGTGCACGGAGTGATAAACGGGATACGCTCTCCTGATGTTGTATCGTCCTCCAAAGATATAAGACCAATCTGCGCAGGGAATCCCAAGGAAGTGGTAAAACGCTCCATAATCACTACCAAATGACAAATCGTTACATACTGCGCGGCCATTAACATGTTTAGTTATATCTCTCTCCAACATGACTTCGTACATACTTTTGCAAGTATCTGGAACTGTTGGATCACAAATTTCTTGCGTCAACTGTAATGCCAAATGTTTGAGTAAAGGACTGGCATCGACATTAAGACTGAAATTACCATTAACAGCCTGGTCTATGTTAAGGTAAGCAACAGCGCGATTTTGAAGAATTTGAGTATTTTCCTCGACCCATTCCGTTGATCCAACAGCACCAATTTCTTCTGCATCCCAGCTGCACAGCATTATTGTCCGGCGTGGCCTCCATCCTTTTTTAATCAACTCTCCTAAACCACGTGATAGTTCCATCAACACAGCCGTACCACTAACAGGATCGGCAGCACCAAATACCCAGGCGTCTCGATGATTTCCCAGGAGTACATAACGGTCGGGTTCTTCTGCGCCCCTAATCTGGCCGATCACATTGTAAATGGTTTTGAATTCCAAGCTGCTGTTGACATCCACACGCAAAGTGAGGCTTTTGTCTTTAAATCCAGGTCCGATATAGTAAGTTAACTGCAAACCTCCTTGCCAACTCTTTGGTGCTTTAAGACCTATCAAATTAAATAGAAACTTCCTTTATACCCTGTAGACATATAAAGTTTTGGGAAAGATCACTTTCTTTTTAGGCGTTACCTACTCTTCAAACATTTGAAAAGACAACAGATGTGCGTGGTACTAAATCAAAAGAGGAAATTAGCAAGGCAACACAAAGCATGCAAGACAAAACTTCGTCAATTGATCGAACTAATAAGTTTTCTAAAAATTTCCAGATGCAGTTACTCTCCATAAAAACGCACAGACGGACTTTCGATTTAATGAATTATCGTAACAGTTTAGCCAGAAAGGTTTTCTTGCTACACAGGGTAGGAAATTTCAGTTTTTTCTTTCTCTTCTTTGAAAAAACCTGGTAGGGCCTCAGGCCCTTAGTAACACCTTCCTCTTCCTGTGCTTGAAGCGTACTAACCTTTCATGCGACGCAGTATCTCCTGCGCATCCCCGTAGGATAGCACAATGGCAGGGATTGGCGAAGAACCATTGTTATTAAGTACCTCTCGGTAAATACCATCCACAGAGGGAAAACCTGGGGTGAGTGGGTCACCAAGCCCCGTTGCGTTTCTTGCTGCTCCACGCTGGGCCCCAGAGTCAGGAAGCCACCAAGAGTGAGGGAAAGTGTTGTTGCCGGTTCCCTCCGGTGCATACTCTGCAGGATCGTTATAGATGATGGCCGCAGATGCACCATGTGAAGCAGCATTGAGAACCTTTAGAAAATGATTTTAGTCTTTGGATTAATTCAAAGTAAAATCCTTTGTTGTTAAGTGCAAGACTCGATCGAGAGCCTGCAGTGTAACTATATTGATGAAAGGGAAAAAGGGAGGGGGGAAGGGGTCATTATTTATTGCTGAGGGGGAGGGAGGTTGGAAGATTTTGGTTGTGTCACAATAAATTATCCCTTCATAAGGCTTTGTATAATATGTAACATTCTTCTGACCCCACTAACCCTCCATTGGCAGCTAACTGGGAGTCAATGTTTTATAGTCCTCCTTTATATTTTCTTGGCGATAATAACCCTTGGTCTCCAAAGCTTAACTGATACTCAGTCGCTACAGGATGAAAACCGTGCGGCGTTAGGAACACGAACTGGCAGAGTGGTTAGGAAGTAAATTAAGGAGCTGATTGCACTCAGTAGTCAAATTATTTCGAAAACTAAGATTCTTGGGAAAGAGAGCATGTGTTTGTGTAACAGTGGTGCTCCTCTATCAGTGGTTGAATGTAAAAGGTTTTCTATGACGAGATGCCCATCAGCAGAGATTCCAACAACTCTATTACTACATGATAACTGATCTAACCCTGAAGAGGATACATTCTAGTCTAGATATATAGCGTGGGCGAAAGACGTTATGGAAAGTTTCACAGGCTCTCCTGGGACAGTTTCGGAGGATTTTGGTTGTTCCATGATAAAATTAACCCAATACCCCTAAAGCTCTGTAATGTGACTCTGTTCCCCCTTTCATAGGCACCTAACTGGAAGTCAATTTTCTAGACTCTCCACCCCCCCCAGACCATTAATGACGAATGGTCTCTTAAGTCAGTTACAAAATACATACCTTGTTTCCTCTATACATCTTGCCAATTCGCATAAGGACAATTCTATTTTTCACGGACACGCCCACGGCTTGCAAATGTAAGAAACTCTCTTTATTGCCATAGTCAGCGTACACAACTTCTCCTTCTACCACCCCGTTAGGGGACTGAGCCAGGAAAATTGGGGTATCTTTACCTTTCTTTTCATCTTCACGTAAAATCTGTTGGTAAAATATTGAGCGTTTGGAATGTTATTAATGGGCGATAGGTGTTGAAAGTAACGATTTTGTTTAAATTAGTCTGTCAAGCGATAACGAAAAGTTAAAGTGGACAAGCGGCCAAAAAACAGTTGCCCTAAAACTGGAGATGAGCCTTTTCCTTTGGCCAATTTCCTTTCATCCACTCAACTTAGTCGTTAAGAATAAGAATGGACGACTCGAGAACTAGTTTCTGGTGACCTGAACTCTTAAGGTATGTTGACATTAGGGGCGGGGGCTCTCGGGTTACCTAGGTTAGACACTTGTTATACGCATCTCATTTCACCTAGGAGGGATTTTCGATCGTCATGCGCGTTTTAATCTAGAGTAAATTTTTGTGAAGATTGGTTTCGAAGTCCACTTTGCTGATAAATTCGCATTAATTCGAAACAAAAGTGGTTTCCTTTCCTCCGTCTAACCTTGTCATTTACTGCCGACTTTCTGAGCCGCCCAACAACTCCACTAATTTTTCCCGTCTTTTCCTGACAGGGCGAAAATGATCGGATCCTAATGTATTTATTCCACAAGAAGAGAGTTATTATTTATTTAAAGGGGAGAAAAAAATAACGGTAGGTCTCTGCACCTTTCTCTCTCTGGTTGCTCCCATCATAAACGAAAAGCTACCAGTTACTATTGACGTTGCATTACTCACGCGTGAAATAATTCTAATTAGTTATTAACACGTTAAACCATAAGAATAACCAGCATCTCATTTCTTCTCACAGTGTTATTCCTGCATCAAATATTAAGATCATGAGAATAAAAGATATGAAAGATATGACAATTTAGAAGAAGCTCGGATTCTTCTTGCCAGTACCGCAGAAAATGTACGAAGAACAGTGTCGAAAATATGCATACTGATGTTATGGCTGATGGGTTAAGGGTGCATGGTACAAATAAAAAGAAGCTTGTCAAACCTTTTCTACGGACTTCGATTTAAAGATTACACGATCATTACGATGAATTTCCACTTTGCTCTCCCAGACTTTTCGTGGGGAATTCATGAGCACATTATACTTTGGCATTTTAACGTCATCAAAGCCATACTTCTGCCATTTCTCAGCTATGTAGCGCGCTAAATCGTTGTTGCGTTTTGAACCAGCAAAATGTGGCTCGCTGGAAAAATACCTGTATACAAAATAGAACAATGTTATGGTCCTGCTTAATTCAAAAGCAGTCCTTTTTCAATTTAGTAAACCGTGTCTTCTCGATTAAAGGCTGGACCACAGTTAAACAGCGGCCTCATGTAGAAACAAGGGCAAAATTTAGTTGTAAACGTCGAGGGCGATTAATCAACGCCTACGGAGTTTGATTGGGTTCCCTACTTTTAATTGCGGTCAAATTACCACTTTCTATTAAATAGTATTGCTGTGACCTACTGCTGCTTTAATTTGATGATTTTATCCATGAAAATGTTTAATGGAGAAATAACAATTCTGGAGAAGACCCAACGACAGTTTGTTGCAGCTGAACGGAATGAAAAATCTTGCTGCCTCGACTAATTACCCGCAGTCATAAGAGGATGTGTACTAAACAAAATAAGCTTAACATATGACAGAAAGTTGCGTTACGTTGGTAAACGCCAGGTCCTGGTTAAAACCCGGCTTGGTAGAAACGCTAGCTTCGTGGGGCTAAAAGAGTAATCTTGAGTTACTCACCTTGAATTTTTTTCGAGATTTTCCGCCTTAAATGAACGTAAAAGTTCTTTTTGAACGTCGTAGGCACTCCGCTGCTCATTTGAATTGATTTTTATTTCCGTTTCCAAGGATTTTGATAAAGAAGTTGAGTTTATGAAATATCCACCAAGGAAGGAAAGAAGAATCGCCACTATGACAAAAGAAAGCTTCAGTAACGGGTGTTTGAAGATAGTATTTTGGGATGTATTTCTTCCCATGATCTTCGTCTTTCATCTCTTGTCAACTGAACAGTTGTACAGTAGAACCCGCAAAAATGAAATATTTCCTCGTACTTAGTACAGTAAAACCCGTAATTTTCACACCTTTCTATTTAGATTCAGGAAGCTGAATACAGTGAAACAGCTCCACTGTCTCCGTCATTGTTGTATTAGACAACAGGAATCTTGTTGACATCATTGTATACATTTTTATTCCTTAGCGTATATTTTTTCATGCAAAAGAAGTCGAAGTTATAGATTAAAATACAAATATGAAAGGGATTGTTTGTCAAATTTGACCGAGAGGCAAAGCCTCAAGAGAAGATTTGACACTTAGAGGACAATCCCGGTCCACCATGGACATTATCAGCGGACATACCAGCAAGCCTGAAAGGGGTTTATTTATTTAAGAACCCTTCCATTAATTTTCAGCTCGCGCGTAAACCACTCCGTGTTGATCTAATGGTGCATGCATATTTACGACCAGCTTTTTCATGTCACCATTACTGGACTTTACAAAACGAGTGCGTTTTTCCTCTGTACTAAATAATGGCGATTAAAAGATGAGACTCTTGCGCTGGCATTCTTTAGCTGGCTTTGTTTCTTTCCGATGGAAATAACCGCTGGACGTAGAAAGGACTTAATGCGTGATGAGTGTCCAATGATTTTACACCTCGTAATGTAAAGTAGCCAATACATTTGCGCGAAAATGAATGGGTGGGTTATAATGTCCAATATCCCTCAAGAACAAATCCCACGTTGAAGTTTTATTTAATACCAGAAAGTGCAAAGGATCACAAAAATAGCAGAACAATCCGATCACGCCTTGATAGTAGTTACGATGTATAACGTTGACTTCAACTGGTGCCATTCGGCTTCACTGCACAAAGTGAATTGCAATCATTAACTGCAGTGAGTGGGTTTTTCTGAGCTGACATGCTGTAGCGGGAGATTGACAAGAGTTCGTGAATTAACTTGAGTATGATGCAGCATCGGTATTGAGGGAGCTTTCCGACACAGGGTTAATATTATTCGAACTCCGCGACCGGCAGAAGCGAATAGCAGGTCACAAACTGAAAGCGACACTGCATCGGGAATATCACCATTTGCAAGTACACTTCAGTAAAACTTTTTTCCTTTAGTAAGATATTATCGATTGTTTTTGAACTGTAAACTACTGCTTGCTTGAGGCCGATGAACTCATCAACTCATCAACGCATCGCCTTCCTCTTGAAACCTCACTAAAACATTTTTGACCCTGATGAATACCTCCACAAGCGAATAAAGTGACATTTGACATGGCAATCGAGTTCAAAATAACATATATTTCGCCTCACCAGTAATGTTTTCACTAACGGCAGACAATAAGCGCAAAATATACCATGTGTAACAACGCTGCCCTTGATACTGGGGACGAACCGACATCGATCCGGACATACATCGCAAATTCTCGTTTGAGACGCAATTGGTATTTGTAATTTTAATCTGTTCTCGAATGAACATTTCGTCTCACGATTCCATTTTTCTACTTTTCCTCCGTCGTTTGCGTAAGATATCCGAAGATTTCTTTTTTTTGTGTTGAAAACACTATGATCTTCCTTTTAAGACTAATAGCAGCCGTCTCTATTTTAGTTTCTTACTTAAATTACTATTTACTTCTCTCACGCTTCTTTTTTCAGAAATGAACTCTTTTCGTTCAATGTAGGCGCAGTATTGCTTTGCATTTCCTTTCCTTATTCTCTAAGACAATTTCTGTACCGTATGTTAGCAAATTTAGAAACATGTACCTTAAATAGACACGCAGAAACTGTCCTTAGAGTCTTAAAGTGATTGTAGTGACCACAATAAAAAAGGAAAACGTTCTAAAATAGACTTTTTTTTGTTCCCTTCATTGACCGCTTCAGAGAGGTTATCTGCACTGATGCATTCAGCTGTGCAGCGCAATATATCGTTGCAACTTGAAAAAAGGGAAGAAAGATTTTCTTGCCTCAACACTTGAGCTAACACAAGCTTAAGAATGCCAGCTCTTCAATACACGAAATTATAAGATAAATGATTCACTTTTTAGAATTTCTTTTTGGTTTAAATGGGTATAAGCGATAACACTATTGATCAATCAACTGTTAAGGTCTAATTCCTTGAAAAAGACCAAAGATCACTGCAATTATCTTGTAGGGACGCAAATGTTTCAATAGCAAATGCTACAAGACAAACATACTTAATTGCCGAGTTAAAGTCCATTGCTTAAGATGGCTTTCCTCATTGTTGGGCAAAAACTGTGCCGCTTAAAGTCTATCTCACTGCCAGTTTGTCAGCGCGTCACTAAAATCTGATAACTTGTTGACATCTATAATCGATATTCATGACGGAATAATCAACAAAATCTTCTCGCTAACGGCAAGAACAACTTTTTTCGCCGTTTGTAAATGAAAGTAAGATCTTTTTTGTTTCTATTTGAGGTTGACAGAAGTTCAATCAGATACGCATAGTTGTCTGAGGAATCTGTGCCTAGAATTTTCCTCTGACGTGGTCAATTTTTAGGCTTCGAGCAAAGCACTTTCAATAGTTGTGATACCCGAACCGTTCTCCGGTGGTTGACTATCGCTTGATTTCTTCTCGTTGACAACTAACACACAGTCCTTTTGTAATTTCTCTCTGTGATTAGGGGAGAATGCTGGCTCGGTATCTCTGTTCATTTTGTTGTTTCACGTGAATTCTCATCTCTTTTCTCCGTTCAGCTTCCCCCTTTATCCTTTGTATTCTCGTTTGTCGATCCAGCTCCCGATGTTTCAGCTGGTCTTCTCGGTCTATTCCCATTCTCCTCTCGGTCTCCAATCGATTGTGATGCGCTTCTACTCTCTTCTGTTCTCTGTCCTTCAGTCCACTCTGCACAAAAACGATGGAGACGTCTTATTAAAGTGAGCTAATGTTCTAAGCTGGCGATCTATTACTCGACCTGTCATGTATGATCTAGAGTTAAAGTGGTCGGTGCGGGGAGGGGGCGGGCAAAGGCGAGAATTTCTTTTGCCCAAACTCCTCCACTCTCGTTCCTCTTAACTGTCGTTCACAAGTTTCATTTTCCTCTTCAGCCTTCCGCTGTCGTAAAAAATCAAAGATGGCAGCTTAAAATTTTCACAAAGAAAATACTGAGCACTCGTTCGCCAAAATTACGCCTGCTCTGTAGGCTATACTAACCGGCCGAATTCGAGGTCCGTAGTTTTTAGTAAGGACCGAGAAGGAGACTTAAATAAGAAATCTTTTCTATCTCTAATATATTTTCAACGAGTTTGAGAAATATATAGCTCTACGAATTTTCTCTCACGAATTAATCACTTCTTACACTTACCAGTCTTTGCGACTCTTGCTCTTGCGCTGCTCTTTCGTAACTGTTCTCCATTTCTTCATGTTGGGTTCTCCGTTCTTTCATGGCTTCTATCCTGGAGTGCTTCCACGTCTCGGCTTTTTCTTGTCTCTCTTGCTCCTTTTTGCAAACCTTTTCAGTTGATTGTTTCTTGTGCTCCATTCTCTGGCTTTCTTGGCGTGCTTTTTCGGCAGATTGCTCCGAAATTTGACGAGTTCGTTCGTCGACCTTTTTTCTGCAGTAGGATATGAGAAATTCAATAATTGCTCTATAAACTGAAGACAATTTACCTCTCAGTATCGTTCAGTGTTGCTTCACAGCGCTCTGTGATTGGAAACCGCGCGCAAACCCCTCAAACAATCAGAAAACAAAACTACGAGCGACCGAAATTGGTGCACTCGCGTTTTACCGTTTGCTTATTCTTACCTAGGGTTTTTCTAAGGGTCATTGTAATATCATCCTTCTTCTGACTGGCAATTAATTCTACTTTGATTTTAAATTCATGACACAGAATCGAAATCCGCTCATTCCCGTATATTTTAGCGCTGAATGCTGTATGCGCCCGGTAGAAGTAATTTACTTTGTTCAAGTGGCATCTGAATCGATGGAAATGCTTTCTTCATTTCATATTAAGCAATTTGAAAAAATAGACAGCTGTAGTTTTTATCATTATCATTATTATACTAATAATTTCTTAAACACGACAAAAAATCGTAATACTAGGATTTAGTCTGTCAAAGTTTGTCATCAGCATTTCTTCAATTTACCCATCATCGATAGACCTCTGCAAAAACCGAACACTTATATCACAGGCGGCCCAAGCTCCAGCTGTGAGATGATCATCTTACGCAATAACGGTCATGGCGGAATTGTAAGAGTTTGTATGGGAATATTTACGAGCGCTCTAAGGAATAAAAAGATACGTCAAATTCTCAAAAAAAATACCTCACCTCGCTTCCACAGCGTATTGCTTGTTATCTGACCGCTTACTTTGATGAAAAGAGCCCATTTGAGCGAGTTGTTCATTTCGAGGTTTTCAACGCACATAAGAAAAGCCCAAGGCTGAACACTCCATTTCCGAACGCCTGATCCGAGAAGGGAAAAATCCAAGCTCAAAATGACCGGGCGGCCACAAATCCAACGCAGAATCCAAGCACACATACTGTAGTTTCATTTCAATTCACTACAAACTCAATCTTCCCCGTGCAACCGACGCTAAGCCGCGGTTTGCTTCAAAAATTTCCAGTTTAGAGGTTTCTAACAACCCGCGACCACATCAACCTTGACACACGACCGTTAAAACCCTACCTCCTTTTCAAACTGAGCCTCGCCAGGGACCACACCGTCCGTTATTATCAATAAATTGTTTTAGAACCACGGGTCCCCTCAGGTCGAAATCGATCAAGAGGCTATTGTTTCGATCGGCCAATCGAATTCGCCTTCGGAAATGTTTACAAATGTGTGATTATTTTCGTAGTCAGAGGAAAACCTGGCAAGGATTTATACCAGTATTCAATTTAGTTCTATCTGGACATACCTATTTTAATTCTGCCAACAAGACAACTGTTATTTCGCTTCGTCCGCACGAGAATGTGAGTCACAATAGAACAAGTCGCTCAGCCATGTAAGTATTCACTTG